ATACCAAGTACTAGTAAGATGTATGGTAAAATTTGAAAAAGCTCTCATAATGTTCTTCAAAATGCCACGTTGGCCCACGATCGCATGATTTTTAGGATAAGTTTCAAGAACAACTTCTCTCCGTGTAGAGGACTTTCTTCTATATAATAATATTAATACATATCGCTTCTTCGTAGAGAAAGTTATTCAAAATGCCACTCTGGCCCACGTTCACATGAGTTTCAGGATAAGTTTTAAGAAAAACTTCTCTCCGCGTAGAGGACTTTCTTCTATATATAATATTAATACATATTGCTTCGTTTTCGTGAAAACAATTGAGTCTCATTTTTCTTTGCCAATGTGTTAGAATTGTTCCAAAACGTCGAAAAATCACATTCAGACCACAATGCCTGTGCTATGTGTGTACGTTCAAATTGTGGACGCTACAACTTCCGTAAATTTAGAGATATCGGGTTGAATTTTTTAAAATTTACTATAATTAAAGGAAAGTTGATAGTTTGGTGTCAATTGGTGCAAGGATGCGATTTATCCATATTTATGGATATTTAAGTCGTCATTCCTGAATAACTTTTCAATCATTCAAGTTTGGAACAAAATGTTAAAGACCAAAGTTGTAGGGTTGACGTGTAAAGGCCATCTTGAATTTTCTAATTCAATACCCCATTTTTCATTACGTGTTCTTTTAGCTTACTTTTAATACATTCTGCATACGGTCAGACATGTGTCGCGATGCCATCGATAAGAGGCAGCCTCAGGTGCGCGCGCGCGGGAGGAAGGAAACGGTTTTGCAGCGGCAATTATTCGAAGGAAGTAGTAACTTCCATTCCCCATTGTTCTCGTTAACCGCGGCCTTTAGGGTAAGTCGCTCTTTTTCGCGCTCCTTCTCCTCCGTAGTTTACAGAGCCGAGCACCTCGTTAAACGTAGATTATCCGGTGCCACTAAGCGGCACGTAATTAAAGAAAGGCTATAGGACGTGTACGTTCGCCATACAATACTCCGTACATCCCTTGCGGATTCTTCTAAAATAATATATCGATGCGAACGCGAAGCGCTACTTTCCTGCGGGAAAGACTTGGGTCCCTGCCAGGTCGCTGCGCGGCGTAAAAAAAAAAACAAAAAATATATAGAACTAGCACGATTAATTTGATTTACATGTCAAGTAAGACGCGAGCTTCTTTGAAGTTTGTTGATTCAACCGCACGATAATTCCGTAGCGTGTCTTATTTTAGTCGCGCGACACCAAGACGGTTCTCGCGCCGCACGCATATTCTTCAATTACCGATTTAAATTAAGTATTTTTTTCATTTCAATTAGAACAGTTACGCATGCGATTGTACGTAATAAGGTAAGCAGCTAATGACTTCCGAAGCAGCGAAACTGTCTTAAAAACTGATCCGTAACGAGTAATCGTTACAACTTAAGTAGGTCTCGTTCACATCGCGTTGTTTAACTAAAACTATAACTTCAGTGCTTATTTGACCGTATCTGACGTTCATTGTACACAGCTCGCAACGTTCTGACCATGGTTTGTGGTCTCTTTCAAGCGAACTAACAATAAAAAAATAAAAAATATAATATAAATATAAAATTTCAACTAATACGAGATTAAAGTATATAAACAGAGTCGAGGGTGGTTGGAATGAGACTAGCAAGTTAAGAGAACTATTGTTAACGAGAGATCAGGATCAATATGAGCAATAGATAAAAATGTTTTTTTTATTTAATAAAAAATATCCAAATAATTAAATTATGTAATTCTTGATTGGATGACGCTTGTACTGGGTGTCTTTTTTAACTTTTTTTATTAAAAAAGATTATTGTTTAAGGTGATTATATATACAATTAATATAGGGCATTAATTAGATCGAATAATATCTGTGACATATCGCATTTTAGTAATGCTCGTTAAATCCATCGTGCACTTGGCATCTTTCCGAAAGAAATGAACGTTTATCTCCAAGCTGATCTAGTTCCTATATTCCACTTGTCTCTCGAGTCTTTGTCGCGGGCGCTCTCGGAGGTCGGTCTATTCGTTAAATTTCAGTGAATTCATGCGCGAGAGATTTATCTTCTTGAGAAAACGGAGAGAATCTCGGCAAGTGTACGCGCGCTTTGCATCATCGATCCGACGCGGTAGCATAAAAAAATCATGTTAAAACGTGCGATAGTGACACCGTTGCGTCCATGCGCATCGAAGACAATGGCACGACACAATACGCGTCACGCGCTTCTCGCCGCGTATCTTCGCACGTGCTCGTGCTCGTTAATGCCGGCCGCGTTAGATGACTTTCCGATGCTAACGAAAGGATTCGTCAGCGAGAGGCGTGATCGTCTTATATGTGCGCCGCGCACGCGGAAGTGCGTGAGTCGAACGTGTGAAGGAAACGAGAATACCTCCCCCGATATGATGTGATAATCGCGCGAGAATCGGTAAACGAGTCCAGCTGGGATTTCAAGTCGAACTTCCTCGTTGCACCGCTAATTGCGTAACGAACTCACGGCGCGCGATTAGCGCGAGAATTGCGCAAGAGAAACTTGGGAGTATAAATAGCCGGCTCTGTAAGGATGTAACACGCGCCGAGTCACATTTTTCGTCCAGCGTTTCTCCGACACGTCTGCCCCGAAACTCTTTCGGCGGCGAATCTCGAGAATAAAGTCCAGCGGCTGATGCAGACGGTGAATTGCCGACGAGGCCGCCGATTCTCGAGGTATCTGTAGGTTGAGTGTCTCTAAAATTTGTCAGAACTCATAAAACGAGATCGCGCGTTTAACAAAGCAGCAGGAAACATGGCACGAGCGGGCCACGGAATTGAAACACACGGCGCAGTAGGAATTCAAACTCGTTTAAGAACCGGTGCTTTCGCCGGGAATTGTCCGGCTCGTTTAAATATCGAAAGCAACCCGCTTTGTTCGAACCAGTCGCGAGACTCGAGTGGGGGACCGACTTGAAAGTTAAGTTATCGACAACAATAATAAATTCGATCGGTTTTAATAAATAATATGAATAGCAATAGAAACGCCTCTAATGGTCAGGTTGGACGTTATATTCTTCTTCCCGTACACATCTTTTTCACAAATTACCAAACTTCGTGCGGGCGTGCGTCGTAGGCATGAGGGCCTGCGTCCATGACGCTAGAACTTGG